GGCAGGATTGGTTGTCGTTTCAGAGCGCCAACGGTAGACCTCTCACACGGGGGGGGGGCTCACTACCCTCAAGTGTCCGCCTGCGCACTAATCTGTGGTTACGTGTGTATGTACTGCCTGTAGTGGGGCGTATGCGGATGTCGAATATGTGTTTGAGTGGTGCTGGGCAGTGCCATGGCGTTAGCAGCGATATGTACTGTAGATGTGGGTCGGGTTTGGTTCTTTTCTATTGCATGGTTTAGTGAGCCGTCACAGGTGGCATCCAGTGCCCCCGTGAACGGAACGGGCACTGTGGTATCCGTTAGAGAACCCCCGCACGATGAGACCCCACCCTCAGAAGAGTTCTCGCTGGTGCATCCTAAATTGCATTCCTTTCGAACGCCACCCCTGCCGGAGCTCCCGGGGGTTTCTTGTTCGCATATTCGACGGAGGTTAATAACATCCCAACAGCCGTTTCCCGTGGAGACATGTAAAGAGTGCTTCGATAAAAAAGGGCACGGCCGTATTTGCATGCCCGGAGGCAGAGGTGAGCCAGAGAGATCATGGCACACGGGGCTCCGCAACTCTGAAATTGTTTCACACCGACCGCCGCGTACACCAAACAGTTCTTTTTCGGGCGAAGGTTTTCTCTCCCTGATGGGGTCGGGGCAACACCATCAAACAAAAAAAATATGTCATTCCAAAACAACTATCAACCCTCGTAAATACTCCAGTTTTGTCTTCCTGGGAATGTTTAACCCCGTGGGCTCTATTTTGGTGTGCAAAGTCATGCTTCCAATTTAGAAGACGCGCTCACTTCAAGCTGTTTCCCCCCGTGCCATGTATTTCTCACTGCGGGGGGTGCTCAACTGATACTGGGGTATTACGGCTTCTGTAAGGCCGCTATGTATACAGTCGGTTTGTTCTATCATCGACTCCGCTTGTCCGAAAGGGGATTTAGCAGTTCAAGGGGCGGAAAATATTCCGTTACCAAAGCATTCGAAACGTCGTCAGTGAACAATCAAATTTGTTCCGATGATGGCTTCCCCTTGGCACTCAAAGGCGGCCGTCGAACAACAACCCTACCACGCTGCCGAAGAGAATCTTGGGGGATCTTACGGCCCTGACATTGCTGTAAGTAGCTGGGATTTTCCGCATGTGCTCAGCCTGCGCTAAACAAAAGAAATCACCAAACGCTTTCCCGGTTTGCAGATCTGCTGTCGTTGCATTCGTTCACTCTTTTCTTTGCAAGAGAGAATGTGGAGGTCGAACGAGTAGTCGGGAGATGCTGGGGAGAGTACCATTGCACTAGCAGCACAACTGCTTTTGATTCTGCGAGAGTTGGCCTCGTTCAAATCAGCCCGTTTGCTCTATCCTGGCGTCAAAGTTGGTGGCACGCAGCGCACCTGGAAAAGCTGATGCGGTTCGGATGCCGTTCGCGTCTGAGATGGTTGATCGTTGGCTCCGTTGATTAAGAATGGACCTCCTACGAATTCTCTCAACTTCACACTCTAGTCTCGCGCACATACTAAACGGTCTACAGTAAATCACATCTACTACGGCATTCTGCAGCTTTCGTGCATCTTAATTACGTTCGTCGTGTATTTGGCATCATGGCTTCAACCTGCCGTTCTTCTGGTAAGTCCTTTCCTGGTAACGAGAACACCTGCAAATCCAGGAAATGTGGTTATACTTCGCGCTTGTGGGGAGTTGTAGGCATGCGTTGGCCCCAGGTAGCGGGCAATAATAATAGTTTCCCGAAATGGCACATTTTTTGGGTCCCCCTCTTACTATAAATTTATCTCAAGCCCCTCCTTCTTTACAGGAAGTCCTCCCCTCGCCTGGTGAGATTTTGTTCTTGTCTGGAGAACTGTATTGATTTTCTCCCAGGCAAACCATGAGAACAGAGCGATATTGTCCTATACTTGAACTACCATTTTCGACCTGCCTGAACCCTCATCAGCACGGTTAGACCCTGGGGTTACCCCTTTTTTGAGGCCGAACATGTGTCCCAAACCGGGTGAACTTTTCGTGGCAAAAAGACTGCGCTTTTCCTTTTTTGGACCAATAAGAACGTTCGGAATTTGAATCAAAATAAAAAGACACACGAACAGACTGGACAAATATGGTCAAGCGCGTTCACGCAGCAATGCGCGAGGTGGACACCCGTCACTGCGCTCACTGAGGCTGCTGGCACACACAAAAAGCCAGTAAGTACCCCACAGCCCGACCGGTCGTAGATGGCGGGCCCCACCGGTTCGACGGCGAACCCGCCCGCTTCGACGGTGGACCCGCCCGTTCTGTTGCCGAAAAGAAGAAAAAGGGCAACGGGCAAACAGCAGGGCGGTTGTAAGAGCGGGAAAACAAAAAAATGCGCGCTGCTGCTGCTCCTGCTGTATTTTCTCGCTCTCAACACCAAGTTTGACGATGATAGCAGCTGCATGCAGCTTCGCCTGCCTCTCTTGGTGTCGTCGTGCTTATGTTGGTTCTATCAACCTGTAGGACTCGGAGGCATACGAAGTAGTCGCACATAGACGCACGCACGCACCTTTTTATTCTAATTAGCATTTCTCGTCTCGGCAACCTTTCCCCACGCCGACGCCACCTCCAGCTCCCTCCTCGCTTGCTCTACCTCCATCCGGGTGCGGATGAGCTGGTCTTTCGCGGAAAGCAGCGGATTCCGGTTGTGCTGCTGTTGCTGCACCGCCATCACGCTTGCCGCCTGTGGACAAAAAATCTCAACCATCTCGCGCTGTTGATCTTGAAGCATTTTTTTCTCCAACCGCAAGTTTCCCAGCTGGGTCAGGACGATCGCCACCGCCTCTCCATCAGCAGCCCTCTGCTGCTGCCTCTGATGCTCCGAGGCCTGCTCGCGTGCGATCGCTGCTTGCGCCCGTTGCTCCGCCTCGATTCTACGTCGCTGCTCCTCCCCAAGCTCCTTCTGCAGATCGGCGCGCAGGACTCGATCTCGCGCCAACAGTTGTCGCTCCTCTTCTGCGGCCTGCTCCGCCGATTTGCGGACTCGAGCTTCTCTACGCTTCGCCAACTGAGCTTTTTTGAGTTTCTCGAGGGTAGCAGCGGCCGTACGCTTCAGGGTAGGGTAGTCGGCCTTCTCGGTAACCTTGCGTGCGCGCCCAGCCGTCGCTGCGTCCGCAAACGTGCATCCTTCTCTCTCGAGAAGAGAAGTCATGAAGTTTTTGAATATATATTTTTTGGACTTGACGCGACCCTTGTTTTAACCACCGCCCTTAGCCATAAATTAGGAGGTGATCTGGTAATCAATGCCACTCGTCGGGTTCTAGGTGAATCGGGGATCGTTTTTTTTAGCTGTGTGCGCAGAAACCAGAGCTAGAGAAGTAGCGAAGGCGATTTTTGACCCTCGTCTAGGTATTCGCGCCAGCTGCGTCAACAGCCGAAATTTCCGTCGTTTCGGGATTTTTCAACCACCAAACTGAAATCGGCTTCGCTACTTCTCTAGCTATAGCATAATTACAGGTGATTTTAGATGGAGAAGAGCCATCTCCTCGCCGTCTTGGCGCATTTTTGGTTGCCAGTTCCTTGTCTTTGCTCAAGTAAGTAGGACTGCTGTCTGTGTGCCCCCTTCAAACAAACAAAAAACAAAATCTATTCGCAGCATGCGTTTTTTGTTGCTCCGCAGGGGGGGTAACCCCAGGGTCTAACGGCACTGCGGGCGTGGTTCGCTGGTGTGTTAGGCGATGGTTTTTCACCAACTGTTTGTATCGTCAGTGGCTGCCATGCTAACCTTGTTGTTTACAGTTGGTGAAAAACTATCTTCCACAACGTTTGATGCGTTGTTGCAACTGCCGTTCTCGTCCGGTCTCGCGCCGACAAATCTCGTTCGGGACGTGAATTTCTGGAACTTGGGCGGAAACTCTCTCGAGTGCTTGCCCTCAAGTAAAATGTGAGAAACGCTCGAAAAGCATCGATCTATCGCTGTCATACACATCACGAGAACAACATGGACCCTATCGCGTGTTTGTGGATGCGGCCGGCATCACGTAGATACTGAGCTCACCTGTTATTATCTGCTGCTCACGATATGGGACGAATGCCTCTTACTACAAAAACCAGTTGGTGTTCATGCACTACGACGGCCTTGTGATGCGTGATGCGTGATGCAAGAAGTATGGCATTTACCTGTCAGAATGTTGAACAAAAACGTGATTCGTCGGAATGCTTAAATAGTCGAGTTTTGAGTTATAGCGTTGGCCATATTGTTCGGGCCCACAACGAGTTTTGTTGAACCGTCAGAAAACAGAGTTTTTCCCGGCATCCTCCTTCCTTATGCTTTTTGGTTAGACAGTGCAGCGAATCCAGTTTGACCTCCTGTGTGCACTGCGCAGGGTGGAAGTTGATTATTATTCCTCGTCCTTCGCATTCGGGCTCTACGTTGATGCACACGGTGACGAATGTGGTGTCTCGCTGACAACGGTGTCCCGATCGGCTTGGCCGATAGGTGCTCACCGATACTATGTTGCTTTTGCTGCATCACAGTCTGCCCCACGAAAGTAACGGGTCGACCAGGAGGAATGTGCGTGGAATTTTGATGCATTTCATTTCCCAATCGAGGCATCCCATACGAACTTTTCGTGGTGAACGGAGGTCCAGCGAAACACGGTTCGGCGTCGCCCGTTGGTCTAGATACTGCGCATATCACTCGCTCCCTCGTGCAATCCGGATCGCAGTGAAGGGCGGACAGCAATACCATCCCCAGATTATATCGTGAAGAGTATGTACTTTGCGGTTTTCACTCCGTGCACAAGTGTATAACTGTATCTCTAAACCTTTGCGCGAGGCTGATCTCGAAGGTACTCATAGGGCGAGGGATGGATGTACGCATGCTCAACTTTGAGAAAGATAAGTTGCCATCGTCCTTCCAAAGCAGCACTCGGTGTATCTTAGTGTGCCATTCTCGCGATGCGCCCCCAAACAATCATGTTCTTCGAACGTTTACAGGGTGCTCTGTTGAGAGCGTGATTGACAACGTGTGCAGCCAAGAAATGTGCACTCCCGGAAATGACGGCCCGTCATCTCCGGGAGTGCACATTTCTTGGCCGCACACGTTGTCAATCACGCTCTCAACAGAGCACCCTGTAAACGTTCGAAGAACATGATTGTTTGGGGGTAAAGCATCAGGTGCAGGCGTATGCGAAAGTGTTGGCTGTATGCGTTCTACGCCTGCACCTACACTGGGCACGACCGCGCCGGAATCTGCCCCACAACCTACGCAGCCATCCGACTCGAGCTCAGAAGGTACGAGACTTGATCGTTTAACTAGGGCATGCTGTTTTGTCTAAAACAGGCACTAAGCGGTCGAACATTGACGTATTCCCGGCTTTGCTCCAAACATGCCCAGGTAATTGCTCGGCGCTACTGTCGTGTACGGGGTTACTCTCTGCCTCACTGACCAAGGCCATATTGTATGAACATCAACATGTATATCTTCACCTGACAATACAGGTTGAACACCACGTTAATTTTTTCTATCAGCTCCATGTCCGCCCGTATGTATTCCGCCCAGATCAAGCGCTACTCCCCTGCCAGGACGCTCTGCGAGAGGCGGCGGCTTCGGAGGTACTTCTCGAGATCGTCAAGTCAATCCTGCGCGAGTTCGGCCTCCGCCCATCGGACCTCGCCTCGGGTACTACGGACAGTAAGTCGGACGTCAAGTCCGTGAGCGTCAATGGCCTCTACCCGCAGTACGGGGTTCTGTGGAATTGGTGTTTTTGCCACCTGATGGTCAAGGCCGCCGAGGACGGCTTCGGAACCCACGTCGACCCCCAGAAGTCCAAGAACCCGGAAGCGCGCGACATGCTCAAGAACGTCATCAGTATGGTCGGGACCCTCAACAGATCTTCCAACTTCAAGGCTAAGTTCGAAGACCTTCAGGTGGACCTGTTGGGCGATGTCCTCAAGATCCCCAACCAAGCTCCCCAATAAAACTTTCCACTCGAAGAGGGCGACAGCAAGAACGCTTTCCTTCAGCTCTTCTCGCTGCTGCAGCCCCTTTTTCCTCCGTCACGCGTGATGGCCAGTACAGCAATGCGCCGATGCAGGCGGACGTCTTCATGAAGTTTGGCGTGCTCAAGATGCGAGTACTGGACCCGTCGAAACCTCTCAAGGTCTTGGACATACCGCCTCTCGGACAGGACGGCCTCCCAGATCGCGAGGAACAGAAGAAAGCTCTGCCGCACAAGATGGTGGAACCCGACGACTTGCACCCCTTGGCAGAGAAGGCGCGCAGCAAACTCGGCCGCGCGCTCGTGTCGAGGCTGTACGGTCATGTGTGGGACCCCAACACCCTGGATCCCTCCTTCTGCAATGCCTCCTGCCTCCTGACGCCGCCGTTCAGTGAGAGGCACCACTTACTTGCCCGCCGGGTCAGTCGTGGTGGCCCCTACGTCGGATGAAGAGGTGAAAGAAAAGCTGGATGGAGTCTGGGCCGAAATCAAGCAGCGAGCCGTCAAAGCCGTGAAGACAGCGCAGAGGTAGAGGGTAGTTGTGGGGACGAGAGCGGCGGTCTGTTCAAGCGCGCCCGCACTGGGCATTCGGGTTCATCTCGTCGCAATAATCCGGACGAAGCCCAGTTCGCATGTTTCGGGCGCACCGAAACCACCCAATAGGACAGCCAAGGAGAGTCGGATGTGGTGGAGGACGATGTTGGGAGCGAGATCATGCGATACAAGGGAGTCTTCATCAAATCAACGCAGGTGGGTATAACAATGTGCTCATGTACAGCATACAGTAGTATCGTCTACGTTGAAGTTGCCTTTTTTTTTTTTATTCTTAGCTTCGTCTCCGCCCAACAATAACAATCCGTATACTAAAAACCTAACCTTGTGTTTGGTACATTCCTCTGAGTCACAGTAGTAACCCCAACCTCAAGGTTTGTCTTGGCTGTGGGCTGCACAGCGTTGATAGCTTGTATCTCGCATTTTACATTTTGCTTGTGCTGTCATAAACCGCGAATTGCAACTCGACATCACCAATACAACACCTCCAACACCTCCCGATTTTCCGGCGGCCCTTCCGTGCCCTATGCCCTTCACCCTTCCGGTTGCCGCCCAGCGAAGTCCTCAGCTACTGGAAGAGCATAGGGAGACACTCATTTCCCGCCCTTGAGTATGTGGCGCAGCAAACATTCGGCAGTCAAGCCTCTGCCGCTCAGGTCGAGAGACTTAAGCGACTGCGGTCTGTTATGTGGGGAACCGCAGTCGTGTACACGAGAACTGAATCCACCAGCAACGGCAGCAGAACACGCACTCCGATCGGGGGAAACGATACCCTCGGCCCTCCACCCGCGCACCGCCGTGCCCGATAATTGCGTTATGCAGTAAGTTTGGGAATGCGAGCATGATGATCGCATATTGCAATTCCAATATATTACATCGACCGATAGCTATGGCAACGATGAATAGGCTCAACAGTCCGATTGTCGAACGCACGTTTTGGTTGATCAATAGGGCGCCACTCGTTCACAACGTTCCCCTTCGCAAGTTAGGTGGTTCGCCTCCCGGGGGCGACGCAAGAGGACATGGTGGATGTCATGGCGGTCGCATCGTTACATCTCAACGTCATGAACTTCCGTACAGTGCGTGGCCCGATATCGTGCCGGTGTTTTCGGCTCGCACACACCGGAATATCAAGTCTTTCTGTACTCTGACTAGTGCCGGTGCCCGGTATAGTGCCGCTTTGCTCTCTGAACACATACCGGCACTACAGAGGGCCCCCTACTGAATTTGAAGTTTCGCATGTGCGTGAGTGCGTACTTTTAGGCTAGTGGCGTCGTTGCTGCAGGTCCTGGTGCTGCAGTTATCCGCTGCGATTGATCACTCGCTCTGATGTGTTCGTGTTGCCCGTGGTCAGTAAGACTACTTGCATGCAGTATGCAGAAATTGAAACATCAACGGTCCGTGCTTGCTCAATCTGGGTCACACAATAAGAAATGTCTCAATAAGAAAGGAAGGGAGCGGGAGGCGCAAAAGGGTGACAACCCCCAATGTTTGCCTCACGGAGCTTGCAACATAATGACGGGGTAGTTTTCGTTGTTGGTACTACATGTTCTTGTGTCTGGATACGAGCATGGTAGATCTGCTAGCAGCAAGGGGGGGTACGTAGACAGGAGCATGCGTATGCCTGAAAAAGGCTACTATGTGTGGGCCCCCTTCCCCGAAGTCGGGAGGGCCACTTCTTCCCTTCCTTTCCTCCCTCCCGCGGGTGCCCAATCAGAGAGAGTTAAAGCGTGTATTCTCCTTTCAAGTACGGACATACCAACACACTAGTGTTTGTTCCCTCGAGGGAGTCCATTAGGGATGGCGGGCCGCAGAACCGGCGGGACCACTCCGGACGGCTCGCAGGCAGGAGACACAAATAGCAGCGAGCAGATCGACAGCATGCGGTCTGAGATCAGTCCGCTGACACAGCAAATGGCAGCTGGTCGGAGGACTTGCTGCACGTATAGAGGAGAAGTCCGGCGGTGCCACGGAGGGCGCCGCTGAAAGCGGCGTCGCCGTAGAGAGCGTCGCCACAAGCACTGCAGGCCATTTTGGGACCGTGCAGTACGACGGGAGCGCGCAAGTGGTGCTGGTGTCTTCGGTAGTGCGAGCGTGGGATACCAAAGCGTGAAGTACACAGCGCNCAGCTGGTCGGAGGACTTGCTGCACGTATAGAGGGGAAGTCCGGCGGTGCCACGGAGGGCGCCGCTGAAAGCGGCGTCGCCGTAGAGAGCGTCGCCACAAGCACTGCAGGCCATTTTGGGACCGTGCAGTACGACGGGAGCGCGCAGGCAGCGGACCTGCGAAGAGAGTCTGGTCCTTCGGGACGACACAGCGGCGAAGTAGGGGGTTCAGACCCCCAAGAGGTGAGAGTAGCCGCTGCTCACAATCAAGCTTGTTTCAGCAGCGCCATGGGAAGTGGTGCTGCTGTCTTCGGTAGTGCGAGCGTGGGATACCAAAGCGTGAAGTACACAGCGCCCACGTTCAGCGGAGACGCCAAGAGCTTTTCTTCGTGGCTAGAGGATTTTTTGATGGCAGCGAACACAGCAAACCTTCTTGAGCTTTTCGAGGAGGGGGGGGCGGAGATCCCCGTAAACAGTGGGCAGAGCAAAGTCCAACTGTCCAGGTTTTACCCGCACGACAAAGTAGAGCTCGCTTTCCACGCGTGGAATTTCCTCCGTGGAGCTCTCAAGGACGAGAAAGACAGGACAATAATGAAGCGAGCTGAGTCGCCCCTGGGGGCGCTCCGTGAGCTGAAGGGGTTGTACGATCCAGAATCGTCCATGCAGCCTGCGGATGAGTTAAAATCCCTGACATCCAAGAAGATCCCGATGGCAGAGAATCCGCAACATGCTCTCAACAGTATGCTCGCCACCGCAGAGTCCCTTTCGAAACGGGGGCTTGATGTTAACGAAACCTTCGTTTTGCACCTCTTCTTGGATGCCCTCTCCAACGAGTACGCTATGACCCAAGCACGCCTGAAGACACAAGGAGAGGTTGACAAGGAGTGACGTCCTGAAGGAGGTCACCATCGAATATCGATCGATCATGGAGAAGGTGAAGGCGGGGAAAGGCAAGGGCGCGCGCGGCGCCGAGCAGGCCTACCTCGCCGATGGAGGCGGCCGCCGTGGGCGGTCGTCGTGGCGTGGGGGCGGCCGCCGAGGGCGGTCGTCCTGGCGTGGTCGTGGCGGTGGCCGCAGCGGCGGCCGCGGGGGGGGCGACAGCAGCGGAAAAGGCGGTGGCGGCGTCGAGGAGAGCAAGGGGAGTGGCTCTGGTGGGGCAGATGGCGGCGGTACCGGGGACAAGAAGTTCCCGGGCCGGTGCTTCACGTGTGGCCGTTTCGGACACCCGCAGCAGGACTGCACCACCAAGGAGAGCGACTACCTCCCGCAGTGCTCACACTGCGCAGGATGGGGTCACAGCAAGGACAAGTGCGCGACGGAGGAGGCCGTCCTGGCGCAGATCGTCCATGCCGACAGCGACGCCGACTCCGTCGACAACCAGGCCTTCTGCGCGGCGCCGGGCCTGCCAGGCGAGTGTGGTGCTGTTGACCTAGGTCTAGTGGGGGTAACGGAACTAGGCCAGGATGTCATGGTGTACGTGGCTGATACAGCAGCCACGTGCTCCATGTTCCGATGCGCAAACGCGTTCGTGAACTACCGCGAGTGAGTGGTTGGGTCAAGGGGATCAGAGGCAACAAGGCCTCCGTTCCTCTCCTAGGGTATGGAGACGTGACTGTAGTCTTTCTGACCGAAGGCGGTAGGGTACCAGTGCTAATCCTGAACGCCGCTCATGTGCCCGAGTCCCCCCACAACCTTCTCTCACTGTCGGCGTTGGCCGAGGAAGGCCACACGCATTCCGGCCAGAAGGGGGAGCTGACTCTCACTACGAGAGCCGGGGGGAAGGTGTGGTTCCCCGGGACGAGTAAGCTAACTCAAGAAGGCTATCAAATCGAGCCGAAGGTAGACATCGCCTGTGCCGCAACAATTGTTCCTGGCGATGCCAAAGCAGCCACCCCCACTGACCTCAACTACTACCACAATTCGCACGGCCACACGCACGAGGAACTGCTCCAGAAAACGGCGAAACAGCAAGGAGTGCAGCTGACGGGAGGACGGCTGCTACCATGCCTCGGCTGTTCGATGTCCAAGGGGCAGGTGAAGCCCATTTCAAAGAGCACGGACACACGCGCAGCTAAGAAATTGTTCCGCCTCTTTCTCGATTTGGGGGGGAGGATGCAGTTCAAAAGCATTGGTGGCAACTGGTACACCCTCATCATCCGAGATGATTGCACCCGCTGTAAACGTGTTTTCTTTCGGAAGCACAAGTCTGACGCCGCTGCCGCGTTCGAGCGATATCTGGCGGACTACAGAGCAGAAACCGTCCCGTGTGAGGTGTTTGTCGCACGTACTGACGGCGGCGGAGAATTC